GCTGGCGACGCTACAAGGGGATCCGCCCTCTTCCACTGGCGACTGGGGCCCGGCGATAAAACAAACAGGTTGGGGCTATGAGTGGCAGGTTGAACTTGTGACGGAGGCTGCTGCTGGGCAGGCTGCTGCTGGGGCACACCCATGGGAGGCTGTCCGGGAGTAGCATGGTGCTGCTGCTGTTGGTGCTGTTGATGCTGCTGTTGCTGGTGCTGCTGGTGCTGCGCTGCAGGACTGCCTTGAGGAGGACCATATTGAAATTGGCGCTGGTCCCGATGTTGCATATCAGGCTGCTGCTGGGTTTGCTGCGCCTGATAAGGATGTTGGGAGCTGAAACGCAGAGGGCAGTCAGCAAGAAGTCCCAGGGCGAGGCTCACGAAAAGCTCGGCGCATTAGGGTGGTTATTGATCTAGGTGCTTGTATGTGAGAGCCCTCAAGCCTGTGGTCAGGATATTTTGCACGCACGGGCGAACATGTCTATGCAGTCCAGAGATGTGATTGGATAGCGCCTCTTGAGAGGTTGCTGCACAGACGTGACAGCGTCCAGTTGAGTAGATGGGTTGAAATTGAGACTCGCAGTAAATGGGTTGTACTTACTGGATCTTCGTTCGGCTGATGAAGTGGAGGTGGAGTAGATATACTCCGGCACGGGGGCCGACTTGCACTGCTGCATTTTCTGGAGGGTAGTTGATCAGCTTTTGTTACACAGGTGAATAAAACACGCCGAGACGCGCAACGCGCAGGCTAGCTGTGACAAGTTGATGCAGGATCGCTGGGGTGTGTAGCCGTTGGTTGTACACCAATATGACGAATTCTCACAGAAGTGCGAAGACGATAAATCACACTCGAGGCTCGACGATTGACTTTACTCAGTGACAATCGGCCAACAACAAGTCATTGGCGTGCGAGACCTGGGTGGTGGTGGTGTGTGTGTGTGTGTGAGTGTGTGTCGCGATGACGCGGGTCGGGACGCGACTCAATCCACCCGTTAACCCCAGCCGTGAAAATGCTTTCAGACCCCATGTTGTGGTACCCGCGACACATGTGTTCCGACGTAAACCGGTACGTGCCAGTCGCGTCTGGGGATTTTGGGCTGGGGGGGGGGGAGGGACCAGGAGGTTGCGGACGGGGATTTCAGGTCGAGTGACGAAGGAAGCGATGAATGAGAGACATGAGGTACTTACGGGTGATGTAGCGTGGGCTTGTAGGTGAGGGATGATGTGGTATCGAAGTGCCAGGGACGAAGGTATCTCTCTCCTCGACCGAGTGACAATAGACCTAGGCCTCGCGTGTTTTTGGAGAGGACCAAGGTATCTCGGTGCACGTACCAAAAATGGCGCCTGAACGTGGGCGAGACGAGGGGGGCACTGATCGGTAGGGTAAAGGCAGGTAGTAGGGTAGGGTACTTCGGAGCGTTGTAAGAGGGAGAAGATTGGAGGTAACGAAAAGATACTCGCGCGAAGGGTGGATCAAGGTGGTGGCTGGCGTGTGCGCGCTTCAAGTATCCGTACTTTGGGACCTCTGGGGCCTTTGGGACCTTCGGGGCTTGGGGGAGGGACGAAGAGGCGAGCAGGCCGGAGCCGGGGGTGTGAGAGGGAAAAAATGGAGACCTTGAGACCTTGGGGATTTTGGAGGTGCCAGGAATGCTTGTTGGCCAAGTCGCAACGGGCTTGATTGGGGGCGGCGGCAGCAATTGGAATCGGGAAAATGTAATGTGTGAACAGGGTCCAACTGCAGATGCGCGATCGGTGTTAAGGCCCGTGCCGTCGGATTCTTTCTTTCCCTTTTGCCGTCGGCCAGGTTCAGCAGAGGGTCAGAGTGGTGGCAGGAGGAGTAGAAGCAGCAATGATGGTGCTGCCGAGAAGTGGTGGGCGCTTCGTGCGGGATGATGTGATGATGATGATGCGGGCTGGCGTCTCACGGGTCAACAAGGGAAGCAGGGCAGGCTCGTAGTGATTAGATGCGACCGGAACAAACGCGCGCGCCTGGGCGTGTGTGTGTATGTGTGTCGAGACGCGCGGTCTTGATGCTTTGCGATGAGAGAACGAGAGACGATGCTGATGATCCGAAGCAATGTCGTCGTCTTGGGACAAGAAAGCTTCCTCAAGGCAAGAATGGTGGGCGATGTACAGTGTGGGATTAGGGTGGCGGGAAGTGAGGGAAT